CTCAATGCCATCACCGTTAAGAACGCGGAGCCCCTACCCCGCATTGACGACCTCTTGGATAGAGTGCAGGGATGCCGGTACTTCACAAAGATAGACTTGAAGTCCGGATACCATCAAATTGCCGTTAGACCTGAGGATCAGCACAAAACCACATTTCAGACCAGGTACGGTCTGTAAGAGTTTGTGGTGATGCCTTTTGGCCTATGCAATACGCCTGGTACGTTCCAGCACGCGATGAAGAGGATTTTTCATGACTACTTGGACAAGTTTATCGTCGTGTACCTCGACAATATTCTCATCTTTAGTAGGACTGTAGAGGAGCACGCTGAGCACTTGAAAACAGTGCTAGGTCTCCTAAGACAGCACCAATACAAGGTGAACTTCGATAAATGCGAGTTTGGTCGTACCAAGATCCTGTACTTGGGTCATGAAATTTCAGCAGATGGATTGAGGCCGGAAGATGCGAAGGTGGCCAGCATACGTGACTGGCCTAGACCTCAGACTGTTACTGAGGTCAGATCGTTTTTGGGGATGACGAGCTATTATCGTCCGTTTGTGAAAAACTATAGTACTATAGCTTCCCCATTAAGAGATCTAACTCGACTTGACACCCCTTGGGAGTGGACTGAAGAGTGTGAAGCAAGCTTCAAGAAATTGAAGTATGCTCTAACATACTACGAAGTTCTCAAACTTCCGGATCCTGACGAGCCATTCATTGTGACCACAGACGCCAGCCAATATGGCATAGGCGCGGTCCTTGCACAACAGGAAGGGCCCAAGTTGAGACCGATCGAGTATATGAGCAAGAAGATGCCATCTCAAAAGTTAGCTAAGCCCACTTATGAGAGGGAGCTCTACGCCCTGTACAGAGCACTAGTTCATTGGAGACATTACCTCCTAGGAAGATTCTTCTATGTGAGGTCTGACCATGAGACTTTGCGTTGGACTAAGACACAACTTGTGTTGTCAGACGCACTCAAGAGATGGATTCAAGCGATAGACATGTATGACTATCAACTTGATCCTATCAAGGGTACGTACAACAAAGTGGTTGATGCGCTATCAAGAAGGGCAGATTATCTGGGCGCGCTAGTTACTGAGTTTGGCATACCCGACGAATTCACTCGATCGCTGGTGGAAGCCTATCAGGGAGATCCAGTTATGTCAGAGATCATCCGTAGATTCCAAGCAAAGGAAAAAAAGACTTTGGACGAATTTACGATGGTAGACGGCTTGCTGTTTCTTGAGAAGGCAGGGAATAAAAGATTATGTGTTGCTAATAGTGAGTCTTCGCGTAGTTTATTTTTAGGAGAACGTCATGATGCAACTGGTCATTTTGGCTATAGAAAGACATCAGCGAACTTAGTGCAGAGATTTTGGTGGCCTTCTATGTTAGAAGATGCAAAACGTTATGTTGAAACCTGCCAAATTTGTCAAAGGGACAAACCAAGGACTCAGGCTCCGCTTGGGTTGATCAAACCCTTGCCGATCCCTGAAGGACCAGGCCAGAGTGTGTCCATGGATTTCATGGATACCCTTGTGACCAGCAGGTCAGGAAAGAGACACATCTTTGTCATAGTGGACCGTTTTACCAAGTTCGCCAGACTGATAGCTATGCCTGAAACTGCTAAAACCGACTTCGTCATCAAAATTTTTATGGATAACTGGGTAAGAGACCTCAGTCTACCTACGTCTATTGTTAGTGATAGGGATGTTAGATTCACGAGCGAACTGTGGCAGTTTACTGCTGAACAAATGGGCACAAAACTCCAAATGACTTCAGGAAATCATCCTGAGTCAAATGGGCAAGCGGAACAAATGAACCGAGTAGTATAGCAATTGCTTAGGCACTATATCAAGCCAAGTCAGGACGACTGGGACGAGAAACTACCACTCGTTGCCAGCCTATACAACACCGTTGTGCATAGTACTACCGGCATGACTCCCTACCAACTGGATCTTGGTTGGAAGCCCCGAACCGCCCTTGACTTTCTGCTACCAGAAAGAGAACCCACTGCAGCACCCGGCAGCATAGAGTTTGTTGTCAAGTACGAACAGATGCTGCAGCAGGCCGTTGAACACATTAGGAAGTCTCAAGAGGCAATGATTGCATCTGAGAATAGACATAGACGGCCCTCTAACTTCCAGGTAGGCCAGAGAGTCTGGATTAAGGCTGCTGAGCTTGGTCAGGAATTAGGCATATCCCGCAAGCTAATGCCACAGTTCTTTGGGCCCTGGGAGATCTTAGACATTGTAGGAGATCAACCACACGGTCCTCCATATGTAATCCGCATCCCACCTCACTTGCGAACCTACCCTGTGTTCCATGCCTCTAAGTTAGCACCCTTTGCTGTTACTGAGCAGTTTCCTTCCAGAAGATCAATGTTGCCCCCAACCATGGATGGCGAAGTGGACATTGACCAGATCGTCGAGCATCAAGTGATGTCTGTTCCTTGACCATCAGGGAGAGGGCAACCTCCTAAGCCGAGAATGCAGTATCGTGTGAGCTTCAGGCATCATCTGGATCCAAAAGAAGACCGATGGTTCACACGAGAAGAACTCGTGAGAACAGCACCTCAAGCGATCGCAGGCTATGAAAGAACACTCGAGGGGAAGATGCCTGCAGAATAAGAGACTTCTCAGAGGACTCACGAAGTAAAGGAGGAGGGAATGCGAGGATCAGGGTCCTCGGTAGGCCTATGGGGCCCTGCTTGCATCAATACCCGCCCTAAGTGAAGGCGGAGGTGCCCGCCCTAAGTGAAGGCGGGCCTGGCTTTTTTTGCAAGAGGCCCTCGACTGTCAATTTCATATTTGGGGTTCAGGCAGTTGTGACGCGCCAGTTGGTTAAGAGAAACACAGGCCGAGCAACAAAGACATTTCCACGGCCCTCTCGGCCTTTCCAAAGAATGCAGGCCCTGGGCGTGATTCGCAGCCTCATACAGAGACAGTTGGGCGCCCAACCGAACGAGGCCCAGCAGCCCAGTAGCTGCTGTACGCAGGCAGCATCCTGGGGCCTTCCGGAAGCTTCTGGGCCCAGGCCAGCCCAGCCAGGCTGTGAGAGCTGGCCAGCTCTTTTCCATAAAGGAAAGAGCTCTGGCCAGGCAGCCTCATTCAGGCACTCGCATGCTAGCGGCAGCGCTGCTGGAGCAAAGGCTCGCGGCTGCTGGCTGGTGCTGAGAGGCGAGGTGCAGCACGTGCGGTCGTGCAGAGGAGGAGGGCGCTGCTGAGGGCAGCGCCATAACCCAGCCACCATAGCTGGTGGGCTTGGACAACAGTGAAGCGCACGGGTGGTCTTCGGGTCAAAGAGAGGACAGGTGTGCGTGTAGACAGGGGATAGGTGAAGGATGATGATGATGATGATGATGATGATGTGAGGGCCCTTACCTTGTATTGGCGATGGTCTGCATGGACGACATCTTCAAGTACTTCGGGCTGCTGCTGATGTCAACAGTTGCATTGTCTTTTTGTAGTCTGTAGTAGCTGTGTAGGAGCAGGCTGGGCGCTGAGCGCCAAGTGTGAGTGTGAAGGAACTGGACTCTTGTGTTGAGGGGAGAGAGTTTGCTCTCCATGAACATTGGTTTTCAGTGCTACGAGCTTCCATTGGTGTATTATTGGTGCAATGCTGCTCTCTGGACACAGTGTGACTATCTGGCTTTCAATGTGATGGTGTGAACTGGAATTGTCATCTCGCTGTTGCTTATTTTCCTTGCAAAGAGCAGAATGGTGGTTGAGAAATGAAATGCAATGGAACGTCATGACAGTGATTCTGGTCATCGACTCCCACACTACCGTCTTCACTGCATCTGGACTGAAGGTTGCACCAAATACAGCTATATTCGGGTGAGGACGGTAGCTTGGAAATGGCGCAACCAGCAACCATGCAGTCCGTTCACCATTGATAAAGTTTGGTAATGAGCCACTCCTCGTTTGCAGGGTCATCTTCGACATGCAACTCGAGGACAAAGAGTGATAGAACTGGAGTGCAGAGAGAGGGAGGCAAGAGGAAGGAGAGGGGGCAGGGGAAAAGCGAGAGAAAGAAGCAACACAACAAACTTGTACAAACAGAAAGCCTTCCCACCTATACTCGACTACAGAGAGAGAAACAGGACGTTGCTAGACGGTAGCCTGGCCTGGAAGAACAAGCTGCAAAGAGACAAAGTTGGGTATATACAAATTGAGAAACTAGACCCCTGTCCGCCGGGGGAGAGCAGCGGCCACGAAACACGGTCCACTACCTGACTCCTGAGGCAGTAACCCACCCACCCACCCACAGAGAGAGAGAGAGAGAGAGAGAGAGAGAGAGAGAGTTTAATAGGGTGATCTTTCTTCCTTCTTCTTTTTTTTTTTTTGAGACGATCCTCCAATCTATTCGTGAGGAGCAACACGGCTGGGAACCCGGCCCAGCGTCCCTTATCAGAAATATAAAAATGAGCTACAGGGGCCATTACCCGCCTTCGGCTAAGAACAATGAAGAAAAGGGAAAACTCAGAGACATTCATGGTCCACTACTCAAACTCTAACACGTCACTAGAATATGTGTGTCAAAAAGCCTCCCAACCACGAATCAGATGGGTGAAACCTATTCAATCCACCTATGACCACCACCAGCACGGCTGTTTTCAGCATGAACCAAAGCTCTTCCAGGCCTCATGCTCCCATCAGGTTTGGTTACAGGGTTGCACCAAAAGTGTGATCTACTTCGTAAGCAGACCGAAAATGTGGGACTAAGGGACACATGTGTGAAGAGTCTGAAGACATTTACCTTTTGCATTGGACAAAAACAGTGCCATGGTTTCAGTAGCGGATCAGGTCTGTAGTGGGGGGCACAATGACTTCTAGCGGCAATCTAGCCTCCTTTCTTCATTGCCTACGTGTTCTTTCTACATCTGTCTCTTTACTGCCTGTTTCACACGCATCCAAATCCACAGGCACACAGGCACAAGCTCACTGCAAAGAGTCGAACGGATAAAGCAACATCCTGCTCATCTGTGTCAGTTCAGTTTAGTCTGCCTGTCTCGTGCACACACAAATCAACAGATGACATGCACAAAACTCACTGCACACCTGTGCGGGATAAATTAACTCTCTCTCTCTCTCTCTCTCTCTCTCTCTCTCTCTCTCTCTCTCTCTCTCTCACTGTGTGTGTGCCTGTCTGTCTGTCTCTCAGACACATGAGGATGTGGGAAGGAAGTCATACACAGAAAATGCACTTACTGGTGGGGAATCACTTGTGCAGCGGAAAAGGGCAATTTCAATCGGCATCTCCGTTGAAATGCATTGGAAAGATGTCCATCTCCAAATCTCTTTCTCTCTCTCTCTCTCTCACTGTTTGTGTGTCTGTCTGTCTGTCTCTCAGACACATGAGGATGTGGGAAGGAAGTCATACACAGAAAATGCACTTACTGGGACATGCAGTGGGGAATCACTTGTGCAGCGGAAAAGGGCAATTTCAATCGGCATCTCCGTTGAAATGCATTGGAAAGATGTCCATCTCCAAATCTGGACCTGTTTTGTCATATTCTCTGCTTTCTGCTACCGTCCGAGTGAGATGTCCGTATAAATGTACACACAAGTCAGAAACGCCCACATTGTCATTCGTTTGGCCTGCCTCTTCATGACCTGGGAGCCGACAGGCAAGGGCGAAGATATAGTCACACTAGCAGGGGGGGAGAGAGAGAGAGAGAGAGAGAGAGAGAGAGAGAGAGAGAGAGAGAGAGAGAGAGAGAGAGAGAACGGGTAAAGTAGAGATACACTAAAAGCAAAAATCCGCTGGCAAAAAGGGGAGAAAGAAAACAGACTGAAGATGGGAGTGATGCAATGGAGGGGGGAACGGTCAGTGGGACGGAGGTCTCCCCACCCAAATGGTCAGATGATAGATGAGGTAATAATTTAAAGCAGCCACAGCAGACCACATCAAATAGAATGACCCGTCTTCAGTACCTTTTCAATTTTTGCTGCCTTCTGGAACTCGGCATCGCTGATTGGACCATCGGGAAACACCGATATCTCGACAATGAGGTGAGGTGTAGGATTTTCATCAAAAAGTGCTCTCACATTCTTACAGCAGAAGCTCCTTGAGTGTGCTGTCTCTCTTCTGATCATGCATCCCTTGTGAGTCCCTGCATCCTTGAATGTGTCATCGTCAGAGAGGAGCGCACAGATGTCGCTCAGCAAGCGCTTGCCTTCGGCTGCTGACACCACTCTGTACTTCTTTTTCAAGGTCCCCTTAGTGGTCGTATGCCACGACTTCACGAGTCGCATCATCTCCTCCCTTTCCCGTTGCTCGTCGTCATTTCCATTTCCCCACAACCCACTCCATAATGAGGTGCCGACCTTCACAACCTTATCAAACGGGAAGAGTGACGAGACCACGATGGGTACCACAGGGCCCAGCTGCTGGCCTTGTGATCGGTCTGCGACATCGCCGACCCCATGCTCGCCACGAGAATCCATCCATGACAGTCTTGCAGAATTGTCAAGCATGCCAAGCCGCAGCTCTGCCAGGGAGCTCGATTGGGAGAAGGAGAGGTGAAACGCAACATCTCCACCTGTCTTGCCTCCCGCTACCACTCCCCTGCTGCTTCTTCCTCCTCTTCCTAATGACGAAGCCAAAGGCGTTGACGAAGATGAGGACACTACTGCTAAAGACGAATTCACTGTCGTAGGAGGAGGTCTAATCCCCTGTGTGGCACACCTGCCAGCACATGGTGGCAGGCGACTAATCTGAGCTGCTGCTTGCATTTAATACTCCCAACCTCCGTCGCCACTGCACACCCACAGCACTCACCACGACCGGACGACTAAGGCTCTCTCCGAGCCAATGCACACCCACAGGGAACAATCAACTGATCACCCCCTTTCACCTGGCACATTCACCTGAGCAAGAGGGAATCCCCCAGAATGCCACAACAAGTCTGAGTGAGGCTTTAACCCTTGGGACATTCCGGTAATCAGCCATGTTCAAAGCAGAAATACTGCTCTAGATTGAGGGAAATATAGAGGAGGAGGTGATGGGCGTAAAACAAACAAAAAAGCAGCAACTGAAAAAGAGGAGTGTAAAAGGAAGATACAGGAGATCATGCTCACAATAGAGGTACCAAGAAAAAGGAAGGAACAACGTGCTGTCCGAACAAACCGTCCATAACAAAAAAAAATCCCATACAGCAACCATCAGTTGACAAAACATAGAGCTCCGAGAGCCCCAAGTTACTCCGGAACCACATGAACTCCAGTTCTTAAACCACCAGTACGCTTCCCAGCCCTTTCTTCACAGTCGCGGTGTGCATGCTGCCACCACTCTTGGGAAGTACGGAGGTGCCGTTTCGCTGGATATCCATCCAGGCAAATTGGTTCGCATGCAAGGCCCGTTTTGCCCAGATGGATATTGCACGAAATGGCGCCCCCACACCACGGCTCTGAATTAATGGCTGAGAAATGTACTGCTGGTTTAATCTCCCGATGGCACTAGCAGAAATGGTCGCTGCAAACTGCACAGTCGTTTGATAGCCACCGCACTCTCAGTGGCTCAAATCCTCTTCCAAATAGGGAATGAAGAAGACAATTTTGGTGTGTTTCTTTTGTATAGTGAGTTCCTGCAGCTCGGAAAAAAAAAGGGCCAAACCTCCAGTGGACCAGCAAAAGGTACGACTGGGCGGAGTAGTTCTGATAATACTATCATAATAGCATCAGAAAAACGAAAAAAGTTTTGATTTTGCTCTTGTTATTTTTTTCACTACTTCATTCTACAAACACCACAAGATGCACGGAGAAGAGGACAGCGTCCACATCACCAATATTGTACTGTCAGACTATTCTAGCACTACCAGTAGGCCTTTATAATCGCAGAATCGCAAAATCAGCGGCCAGATCGTGTCCTCCTTTTAGGAGGGCTCCATCTGGCCACTGATTTTTGCAAGGATTTCTACCCTCGGCATCCCTGCGTAAGGCCCTTGCAACGGACACGTGCCCGCCCTAAGTGAAGGCAGGCCCCTGAATCCCAATGAGCCCTGGATTCATCAATTTTTGCAAATCTTGGTGGGCGCCGGACAGTTGCCACGCGAGTTGGTTACATCCGCCTCGCTCGTGAGAATCAGAAATATCCGTGAGCCTTCCAGGCTCTTCCAGCAACGTGGTGGAAGCAGGGAACACCGCGCGTTTGTGCCTGGGTGGTTGGGAATGCCTAGCCAATTCGGTCCCAGGCCACTGTCTGAACGGGCCTGGGCGCAGACACTTTGGCCGAGTGTGAAGCTACTGGAAACTCGGTCCCAGAGGCAGAGAGCAGGCAGCGTGCCCGCACTTTCAATATAGGAATGTGTCGGGCAGGGGCATTCAGGCAGTACGCCAGTGACGCGACAGCGCTGCTACTTCAAGCACTCGGTCGCTAGCACTGGCGCTAGTGCTTGTGCGCATGCGTGGGCGTGAAGGCTAGGGCGCTGCATGGTGGCAGCGCCATAGCTCAGCCCTCCATAGCCGGGCTGAGCTTGGACTCGGTTAGCGGAGGTGGTGGTGGTCTTCGTGTACGAGGAAGAAAATGGGTGAAAAAGTCGAGGGTGAGCGAGTTAGAGAGAGATGAGGATGGTGATGTGAGAGCACGTACCTGGTCTTGGCGATGGTCTACATGGTCGACATCTGCATGTACTTCGGTTGTTGCTGCTGACGTCAACAAGTTGCTTGTCATTTCATTGCATGTAGTGTAGCTGTAGGGTAGTAGACTAGGCACTGAGTGCCAGTAGGAGGAAGGGCTATGATTGCATTGTTGGTGGTGGCGAGAATATGCTTTCATTGACAATTGAGTTCGATGCTTTGGATCTCCTTCGGTGTAGTATCAATGCAATTCTGCTTTCTGGACAGCATTCGACTACCTGGCTTTTGATGCAATTTGCAATCTGGAAATTTGTCATTTCGCTGTTGCTCATTTTCCTAGCAATTTGGTATCGGAGCTGGTAGGAGCCGCTCCGCTGGATCCTTCGCAATAGCTGTTTGGTGCTCCACTGGTGGAAGGGGAGGCAGTGATAATGCTTGTTCGTTAAGAAGAGAGGTGGCCCTGTGTCGAGAGGGCGTGACCCGAAGACTGTGTGGTGACATTGGAATGCACGCTGGATGATGAGAGCTCGCTGATGTGGCATTTAAGTCGAGGTGGAACTGCATTGTATTGTGGGTTGTGCCGAGGCATCGACCGGTCATCATAAATGCACGTCGGGTTACTGGTGAGAAATCCGTGGTTGGGGGGGGCAAGCTTTATGAGGTACGTTGATCCTTACCTTATCTACCCTCTTCGTTACTTCTTCCCATGAGGAAGTGAGTTCTGTCTTGAGAGTCCTCTCATTGTGAGGTGTCGCGAGCACTCGACCTTTAGAGTCCACATTCTTCCTGGGAAGCAAGCTGGTGGGTGCCTCTTAAGGGCCCTGGACAAAGCGCTCGGGTCATGGTCACCATGGCAACCCGCTGGGACTAGAGCATGCATGCTTTGCCACTTGTCCTTTGGTCTGCTTGCTGCGCTGTAGAGGTCATGTCGGCCAGGCCAGCCCTGCGAGGGAGAGATGCCTACCGGACCGTCTATAAAGAGACTCCGGCCAGGATACACGACTCGTGCTGTACACGAGTACAAAAATAGTACAGTCGGGGCTGGCCAGTTCTGCATAGACTAGGGGCACAGGGGTGGACCGATTGCACACCTTTAGACACACCGCTGAACCAGAGCTTCAGGATGTCGACACAAAGTGACTACTCAAGAGGGATACAGGGGGACGGGAGATTCCAATAAACTGCTCGATTGTTACTTGTTGCATAGTTCCATTCTGCATGCACACCAACAAATGATTTTATTTTTATTTTTTATCACTTAGATGTGACGGACTTTAACGGACTTTAGTAACAACTGACAGACAACTGCAGGTAGAGTAGTAACTATTCTTTGCTGTGTAATGACCCGCCAAAACACAGGCTGAGAGCACTGCTGATTTCTGGGATTTGCCGCTGCAATGTATGCCTTGCTGAGACTCCCGGATTCTGCTGTGATTTCTAAGTCTGTGTGTGTGTGCGTGCCTGCTGGTCTGCATGCCTGTCTGAGTGCTTGTCAGCCTGAGTGTGTGTGTGACCCGCAAGGGTACTTGTTGAATGGCCCTGCAGGGCCAGTACTTACCTGTGGCAGTGACTTCGAGGGTTGCAGCGTGGAAAACACTCAAGTAGCGGGGGTAGGCCCACGACACTTAGAGCAGCAGGAAAAACACTCAAATAGCAGGTAGGCCGTTACCACTCAAGTAGTGGTAGAAGTGTCGGGTACTGAAGGTCGAGCAGAAGAAAAAAGTTGGCATTTTTAGAGGCCCACTAGTGGTAGGTTAGAGGTAGGCCGGTACCAGTCCAAGTAGCCTGAGTCTAGGGCCTGTCCGGACGATATCAGAGCCTGCAATGATGTTTCCCTCCGAAAGGGAGGAAGTACCGGTTGCTGGGAGGCGGCTCGGCCTAGGAAGTCACCGCCCAAGAGGCCAGTAGGCCGCTATATCTTCAGGAGAAGCAAGCAGGTCCTCCTCATTTGCAGTGTGCAAGGACTGGCGACATACTGCTGGAGCCAAGCGCTGGACTTGGGAGCGCTGCCTGGAGGAGGAGAGCAGCTGGGCGCTCAGCCTGGCTATGGCGAGCAGCCCAGCCTGAGGAGGAGGAGGAAGAAGGGGGCGAAGGAGGAGAGTGGCGGGTACCTACCTGGCTATGGTGGACACCATCTTCATCACCTTGTTGGGCGCTGCATCTGGAAGGGCCCAGTTGCGGTAGTGCCCCACCAAGGAAGATCGAGGCAGAGACAGGCATGGCGGCTTAGTGAGCAGCGGCATAGCTGCTTTGTGTTGTCCTTTGGACAGGAGTGCAGCGCCATAGCTGCTTTGGGTTGTCCTTTAAACGGGAGGACAGGGCCCTTAGTAGTCCGCCATAGCCTAGGCATGTGAGAGGAGGAAGAAGGGGGAAGCCATGGCTATGGTGGACCTGTTGTTGTGTCAGCAGTAAGAGGGAACTTCGGATATTGATTCTGGTTCATCCACTCATTGTTATTATTAATATTGGACGAAGAATAAGATTGGTGAAGCGAAGGAGGAGGAGGAAGGTGGAGAGAGAAGGGGGATTTCTCATTGGTCTGGCTGGTGTACATCTTCTTCTTCTTCTTCTTCTTCTTCTTCTTCTTCTTCTTTCTCTCTTCTTTGCTCTCTATCTCTTTGCAAGTGCTTTCATTTCTTTCACAATTGGGTGGCATTGTCTTTCATTGTGAAACTTTGGGAATGACCAGGATCGTAACAGCTGTAATGTTATCTGTTTCAGACTAGTCATAAAATAAAACTGTTTGTAGGAGTCTGAGATTATCTGCTTTTACCGCCTGACTACGTTCTGACAAGCCTGGACCAATTTTTTATTTTTTTTTAATATTTTAAAAATACGTTGGGTGCCATGCTGCGGTAGGCCCCAGTGAGGACATTATTGCAGATCACATGCCACACGTGACTCATGAGTGGAGATGACAGTGAGGTTGAGGGACTAGACCAGGGCGATAGGAGGCTTACCCGTAGACTTGCACTCAGTCGGCCAATGTCGCACTTTTTCCGATCAGACCACTCTCGGCGATCAGAAAGCCAACAGGCTGACACACATGATTGTTTAATTTTTACAATAAATAAATAACATTAAATAATGCAAATCCCTTCCTGTTGTGTGCGTCTGACTTCGAGTGAGACCCTTCAATTGCGGTCTACGCCGGTCCCCGATCTTAGGAATCTTTAATTATGATTCAGAACAGCAAATAATCATGCAAATAATAAAATTAAAATTAACTATTCCATGCATGTATCAAGTCTGCTGATTTAGGAATTTGAGAACTGACATAAGATCAACACAGAGCGTAACATCAAGCAATGTCAAAGAGAACGAATCAGGACTGTCCGACTCAAGGCAAAAAACAAGATGGATGAAGGAAGGTGAGAACTCGTAATAATCTCCGGAGATATAGATGAAAAGACATGACCAACACTCGTCAAGAGTCCTCACTCTCCCTCTCAAGTCTCGTCCTCAATCTCTCATTTGACTGTGCATCTCTTGTGCCTTGAGTCACGTCTATGTACTTCTTGAGATTGAGGTCTAGTAATATAGAGCCACCTAAAGCCCATTAGTTCCGAATAGGTCCATCCAAGGCCAAAGATTCCTCCTACAGAGTAGGGAGATATGGCCTGGAGAAGATCCCTCGTCTGAGATGTAGGAACTCTGATGGTTCAGTCACTGCCTCATAGTCAATCTCAGCTGGTGAGACATACCACTTGGCCAGGTTAATCAGATCTCCACGATAAGAACCATCGATGAGGTAGAAAGAGACCATAGGCCTAGGGTGGCCAGTGTATAACTTAGGACCAGAGCTATAGATCAGCTTTGCACCCTCTAGAAGCTTCTCCTGCCTTCTCTTCAGCATACCGGACTGTTGTAACCCAAACTGAATCGAAGTGCTCATGAGCCTCTTTCCCCTTCTTCACATATGTGGCATACTCAGGTCCACATGGGCCGAGCAGGGCCCGACCAGGTAGGCTAGGGGTCCGTAGAGCGTAGGGTCTGTGTCGTTTCGACCCTCAGTGGGGTCCACAAGGTCGGTAGGCCGAGTTTTAGGCCGAGTAGGACCGGTCCCTGTTAAAGGCCTTGTAGGCCTCATTTCGGCTACAGGCCCTGGCGCATGTTTTGGCGCCAGACCCTGACTTTGAGGCCGTCCCGTTTTGGTAGGCGCTTGAGGCTCAGCCTCAGTTTGGGCGCCAAACTTTCGAGGCCCAGCCTCATTTTGGGCACCAGGACTCAGCCACTAAGACCGACCCAACGCTATATCTAGCTGGGTCCAGCCTCAGTCCGGGTATTGAGTAGAGGATCGAGGAGGCATACTTCGGACGACAACAATGCAGTGGTAGTCGACGATAGGACTAGTCTTCCAGCGCTGGGTGTTGATAGAGTAGAGTAGCGCCGGGAGGGAGAGATGGTGATGGCGGCCAAAGGACTTACCTGAGACTTAACTTCGTCTTCAGCACGTCCGCACCTGCATCAAGGCACCACCTTTGGCAGGTCAGTACCTAGTAGAGAGAGAGAGAGAGAGAGAGAGAGAGAGAGAGAGAGAGAGAGAGAGAGAGAGAGAGAGAGAGAGAGAGAGAGAGATCTTTTTCTTCGTCTTCTTCCTCCAGTCCACCACCTTCTTCTTCCCCTCCCAACGCTCTGACTTTTTCTTATCCGGCTATGAGAGAGAGAGAGAGAGAGAGAGAGAGATTGACAACACTTGGGATATAGACTCGACATCGGGCAGACACGTTGGGGGGGACTACTTGGGATTGATATCAGCGACATTTGGGTTGACGACATTCTCATCTCTTCCCCCTTCTCCTTCATCTCTTCCCCCTTCTCCTTCATCTCTTCCCCCTCCTCGTCATCTGTGTAGGCCTGGCACCTTCGTCCTGGTGTGCGGTGTCAGGCCATTCACACCATGTGATGATGATGATGTATGTCTAGTCTACATTTCAACATTGATTGAGTCGGATCATTTGTATTCCAGGTTCCACTGTGCTATCCTGCTCTACCTGTGAGAGGTCGGTTCTTGGTTCTCGTCAATCAAGAAAGAGGATCTACCCAATCAAGAAACCAACTTGATTGATTGATTGACTGATTGATCAATGAAGTAGGGATTCGTCAAGTTTCTGCAAAAAAAAATTGTTTTACTAAAGTTGTCACCTTCATTAGCGGTAATTACTACTAACCCTGGATTTGCGCTAATCTCGAATTACCACTAATCTGCGATTAGCGTTCTAACCCTAACCAAGATTAACAACTAATTACGGACTGAACTTTTGCAAAATATTTTCTTTACTTTTCTTCTTTCTATTGCAACTAATTCCTGACGTTGCACTTTCGGCAATCCACGAATTTCGAAAATCCGACAATTTCATTATTCTGCGAATTTCGCAAATTCCGCGCATTTCGGAATCCCGAAAATTTCGGCATTCCGAGCAGAGGTGGGCAATTTTTGTTTTCCCTCACCCTCGACCCAACCCGCCCAATTTTTTTTCTTCCCCATCCACTCGGTCCAAGAATTTTATTTTTTACTTTTAGACGACCCCACCCACCCAAAATATTTTTTGAAATTTCAGCCCCACGCCCGATCCGCCCGTGACCCGAAAAAAACCCTCACCCACACCCGCCCGCACCCGTAAGAGTATCATCACCCGCCCGCATCCAATACCTAAATTTTCTTCACCCGCACCCACCCGCATCAGCCTGCATCTGCCCATGCCAGTCCCTTACACCATCACAATTTCATCGGCA